ACACACACACACACACACACACACACACACACACACACACACACACACACACACACAATCTTCCCCTAATTTTTGAAAGGGGCTTTATTTGACTTTAAATATGTGCAAACATATTTAGAAGGAAACAAAACAACCTGATAATGATATTGATTCTGTTATTAGAATCATCCAGAGTTGTTGGGAGTCAGGCGGCAGACAAGTTTAATAAATTATGATTATTATGTTACTGTAATAGTTCTAAATGCAAGACTGGTAGAATTAAAATAAAAAATGATCATCTGGGAGGCTGTGTCATCAGCAATCTGACTTCTGATTGAGGATAGGACATAGCCCCTCAGCTCCAATTTAAGATCCCACCCCTTAGGCAATATTAAGAACACCTTCATACCACATCCTTGGCACAGGTTCAGAACCAACTCTATCCTTGTGCAATACACAGCAATTTTAAAAAAAGTTGGGTGAATCTACTGAAGTTTATTTGAAACAGTCCATTGGTATTTTCTTTGTAATGTGCTGGCTCTGTTGATCTTCTGTAATGTACAGTATTATCATCTAATGATCTGCCAAACACATGCAGACTCTCACATCTCCAGGAAAGTGTTTTGCACATATCTCCTGTTTTCCTAATTGGTGGGAACTGTTGGCTTCATTCTGCCTCTTGATTCTTGGATTTTAATCATTTATTATTTATTGATTATATTTATACCTGTGATGGAATGTAGTGAAGAGATGGATCCCCAGGAAAGAAGAGGTGCATTCCAGAGAAGTAAGAAATACTGTAACTCACTCTGTACATCATGCAGGAGAGTAAGAAGGTAACAGCAGCCCAATAGTTCACAGAGTATATTGTAGATTCAGTCTTTAATCTGGGACAATTTTGTCTATAGGTGTCAACAATAAAGCATTTAGCTTGGAATAATTTGCCACATTTCATTCTTGCTTTTCTGTCTGACAACACCTCCTTCCACTGAGATTCACCTCCTTGGCCTGCTATTTATAAGATATTCTTCCTCTCTACCAGATCAGAACAGCAATATTAGCATGCACCCATTTGCAAAATGGTTACCATGCCTTCATTTCCTTACCGCCATGAAGAGTTTATAAATGCACAAAGAAATAAAGCTTTGCACCCAGTTTCCACTCAAATCAACTTGGGGTGGCAATTTTGTTTTTGCAACCAACGAAATACACCCATAAAATAAAAACAAGGTTGGAAACGAGGACATGAGCAGGATATTTTGTTTTTCTTTTTTCTTTCTTGGAACCCGGATTTTTCTTACTCCAAAACAGGTGACAAGTCCAACTGGGGCAACTTGAATGATGTTCTTTGCATTCTCCTATTGGTCAGTTGTATTAGGGTACTGATTGGTTCATAGGGTGTTTAAGTTAGAGGCTGGCAGAAAATCCCTCAACTTCCCCTTTTCGGCGTTAGGCCTATACGACCGCCGTTCGTTGTTGGGTTTCTAATGACTGCTCTTTTGGGCAAGGCAAGCCTGCATTATAGTATCGGATCATTCACTAAATGACTGCCACTAAGTTTCTCTCCACTGTCTTCTCCCCACCCCAACTTTTATGCACTGTAGTAGAGAAGTTGGGTGAATTCACGGCGCAGCTTTCCCTGTCTGGGTGTACCCTAGTCTTGTTTTGTATCGATCCGTGCACAGTGTGGGTTAAACGGGTGACTCTAGAAAAAACCGCCCGGTTTCTCTCCCAGTGAAATATCTTATTGTACTACTTCTTTTTCAAGGTCGACGTGAAAGACTTCGAAGGGAACGTTTTAAGCCAGCTCCCAGGAGCGTCGCCCCTCTCCACCATTGCAAACGAGTCCGAACCAGTTACTCAGGCGCGGCGTTTCTCCCCGCTCCAGCCCCCCATTTTTTTCGCTCTCTTAGCTAACCGGCAGAAGGTGCATCAAGCAGCGAGCAACAGATGGAAAGGGCAGGGAGAAACCAGGCGAGTCCAAAGTCTTCACTGCGGCGCGGCAAGGAAGACCTTTATCGGCTGAGCTCTGTAACTTTTCCAAAGAGCTGGGAGGAGGAGGGAGGAGGAGGAGGAGATAAAGCCTCCGCTGTTTAAAGCTGGGGGGGGGGGGGGGGGCGTCGCTGGAGAGTGGAGGTGACTTGATTTCTTCCCTAGTCAGGGTTAGGGTGCTCCAGCCTAGCTAGCGAGACGAGTCCCCGCGGCGCAGGAGGCGCGTTTTCCCTCAGCGCGTCCTCCTTTTCCTGAATGGGGTCTCCCCGGAGGAAGAGGCTCTGCCTTTTGTTCCTAGTAGGATTAGGGCTCTCTGTCATTCTCCTCGGACTTCACTACACGGCGGATTCGCCCCTCTGCGCCGGGACTGCGGCCAGGTAAGAAGATTTGGGAGAGACTCAAAAGGGAATATTTCAAAATCAAAGGCTGGTGGGGAAAAAAAACCCTTAACGTTGTTGGTGGCTGAGAATGGGAGACTTGTTCGGAAGCCAGGGCAGCCATCCTGGTATTCTGATTAAGATGAGTGAGGGTGGGGAAACAAGGTGTAATTCATTTTTATTTTTTATTGGTGAAAACAAACACATGCACAATCGTGCCATTGAAGTAGCACTTAGCATCTCTGTGGAAGAACAAAGCGCCCAAGGCAGCCAGGAAGGCGGTGGAGCTACTACTTAATGTTCTTCCTCAGCCTCCCAAGGAAGATGTTAAAAGTTTCAAAGTAAGCAGACCCGTAATTCAGAGGGCCCGTTTCGTATTTTTCTTTTCAGCTGAAGGGTTTTGAATATATTGTAACGGTAATCGGCTTTCCCCCTAACTCTGCGTCCTGCAGATGTGTGTGGACTACAGCTCCCAGAATGCCCAGCCACCATGGCTAAGAGCCCATAAACAGCAGGTAAAGAAAAGATGTGGTAAGGGTTAGAATTGTATTACCTCATATTTGTGGTCTAGCCCTGAGCGAGTAATATATTCCATGGTTTCTTTGCTTGTAATCAAGAATCCATGTAGGTTGAGAAGTTACAAATGGATTTAACACTAAAAAAAACCTTCACCTCGGTGTTGGGAAAAAGATGCAGAAATGTAATAGGATGTGGCTCATGATGTTTCAAAAGATATGGTCAAGGAGAAATCACACATGTATTATCGATTACTTTAGACATATACTTTTTGGGGAAGGATGCCTATTTTATAAACCACGGAGAGTTTAAAGTTTAAACATTTAGTTCAGTACTTCCCAAACCTGGGTAAATTACCCCAAATTGGGTAAAAGAGGTACCCTATGTTCTTTTGGGTATTGACACACAAACCCATTAACCAATCACAACATGGATATTTAAATGGCCTTAAAGTGTTTTGCCTACATTGGGTAAAAAGGAATTTCTGATAATGGGTAATGAAAGAAAATATTTGGGAAGGTCTCCTTTCCTCTAAGATTATTGCATTGTGTATCCTCTTATACATGCCTTCCTAGATTTTGAGCTTCTGGAGTTTTAAAATGAGTGAAATAGTTGATCCAGCATATTTGGAGATCACTAAGACAGGAAAAAAGCCTGAATGGTCTGTGGAGGTTCCTTGTGGACAAGTTAGTCATGTCAGTTGGGTTTTTTAAACTTTGTAAATGACAGTGGCCATAATTAAAATGTTACCATATCCACATAAAGATGTATGAATGAATACTTCCATCTTTCCTGCCAAGATAGCATATGGGAGCAGTGTCCACTCTTGATTCTTAACACATTTTAAAGCAGGATATTCTGAAGAGTGTTATTTTACAAAATGAAAAGTTTGTGCTTGCTCTGATAGACACTATATACATAAATGAATAAAACCACAAGTAGACCTTCATTGAGCCTTTTATTTCCTAGATTTCAGAAAATCTTTCTGTACCTGTTTGCTGGCTCCTGAAAATACATTCAGAGAGGAAAGAATGTTCTCATTCTTACAAAATATGCTTATAGCAAAACCTATCTCAGATCCATCCTGGCTGTACTCTAGTTGTGCCAATTGCTTATAAACTTGGTTTCAACCTATCTAATGGAAGGAAATAACTACAAAAAAACACAACAGCACAAAACAATCTGATCCTAGAAAAACTTGCAAAACAGTATCTCTGAGTGGATTCCAAACTAAAAATGCATGAGCATTTCCGGACGAAGTACCTGAAGCTTCTGTGTGCGAATACGCATGCGCCCCACACCACTAAAATGCAATGCAC